TCTATTTTTCCTCCAGTGATTGTCATGAACTTGAATTAAATAGCTTTTATATAAAATACTAAACCACAAACCAACACTAGATTGATTTAAAAACCTTGCTCCTCTCAATTGCTCAGGTTCCAGGTCGTGTCTACATACAAAAATTGCTCTGATTTCACTAAGGCCTTCTGTACATGAGAGAATTTTACTAGATATACTGGCTTTAGTTATACTGGTACAGTTACACCACATGGACATTTATTCTGTTATAAGAGATTACTTTTTTCAGTTATCTTGTACTCCTTTTCCAAATGATGGTACCTAAACTGAAAAAAAAAAAGGGGCATTGTAACCTTGAAATAAGTGTGTCATCACCAAGTGGAGGTGGGGTAGGGTAGTTATATTGGCATAATTGTAGCTGTTTAAATGTATACCTTAGGCTTTAATGCAAAACCTTTCCTATGCAGGCAAGACCTAAATACCTGAGAAACGAGCGTAGTTAAATTTAATTATATCTCTTTCTAAATAAATGTTATTTAAACAGAGGGAAGCGGCTCACCTTTGTGTCAAAATAAAGGCAACAGGGCCCAACTTTCTTTTTGTCCTATTTGCATGTTATCTTTTAATGCATTTACTGTTGTGAGTAGGTAATGCAACTGACAATGTATGGTCCTTTATCATATTACAACGGGAAGATTGCATTCCTTTGGTAGGTAACTCCAGAAGTGGGGCCATTTACTTTCTCTTTCATATCACTTCTAGAAGGCAGAAGCAAACACTAGCCCACGTTAAGATAAAGCCATCACGGCCACCAGTTATTCTAAGCTATGAGCAGCCTGTGGGTGTCTCCCTTTGTTTGTCTTTAGACTGTGCTCCTTGGACTCAGTTCCTGACTCTGACCATGTAACTGTGCAGTGCCGCAGGCCTCAGCCCTGATCCACGGTTGGCTCGGCACTGATACCAGCACAGGTGCACTAGTAAACTAAATGTAATGGGCCTGATCTTAAACGATATTAAATGCCTTTGTCCCAGAAGATGAGTCGATCTGGAAACCACCGTATCTGTCACCAGCGGATTTCTCAGCTCGAGTCCGAATAAACACAGGCACGTATAGTGTTCAAATTTAACAGTATATATATTGTAACGTATAACAGGTAAGTTAAAACAATAGATTATAAACACTGAACAGATAAAACAGCCCCTCATCCACTGATATAATGGAAGATAGGATAGATATAACAAACGGCAGAACTTAATACTCAGTCTGTCTGAGGCAGCTTGAAGCTCACCACCTTCGACCCTTTAGCTGGTGGTAGCTTTCAGGGGAGGAACACTGAGGCGTCCTGATGCTCCGGTGTTAGCGGTGGTATGGCAAACAGTTCAGTTCACTGCTTTCACAATGGACCAGTGTACAGTGTGTGGATCGCAGGCAGAGCAGTTCCGGGTGCCTCGAAGGGCCTTCTCCACAGCAGGTGCGGAACGATGGAAAGAGCTCTATGGTCACAATCCCAACGGTATAGGGAGAAGCGGGTAGCTGAGGCTCGCTGAGCTGTTGCTACAGCTGTGGACCAAAGCACCCTGTGGGCAGCAGCAGAGTCAGGTCAGGTCTGTCACTGGACTGGGCCTTCACCACGGTCTTTGATGACGGAACAACCCTCCTCTAGGATGGTACAGGAAACTGCCGACCCGATCTCCTCAGGAATCCAGCTTATAAAGAGCTCAAGGCAGGAAACTTAGCTGGAGTGCTGGGTGCATCGTGTAGAGTGATATGTGCAACTGATCTGTGTCCAGTGCAGATTTTCGTGTCGTGTACATTGCCATGGTACTGTGTGCACAGCCATGTGCTGTGTGCAGACGATGGATTTTGGCAGCAAAAGTCTCAAGTCAATCATGGACTCCATCTTAGAAATCCTATCATGCACCACAACTCCATTTTGAATTGTCTCTCAGTCCACAGACTCCATTTTGATTTTGCACTGTTCATAGCTAACAGCACGGACAGACATTTTGCATTGATATGGACTCCAGTGATGATCTGATTGCATAATTGTGGCTCTTGCTCCTTAAAGATTGAAATCCCAACCTCAATGAAGTGAACCCCACTGAAATCCCAGCCCCATTGACAGTTTTGCCAGTGAGTTATGGGGACCAGGATTTTCACCCCAGGACCGTAGCATGGCTTAGTCAAATTCCCTAAAAGTTCGAAATAGAACTCTGCCAATGGTTTTCCTAGTGCATTTTTTGGTTTTGGTTTTTGAGATCAAGTCTGTGAAACAGATTGATAACATGTTAAAAACGAGGTTTGATTAAGTCTACACTCTCAAGACTGTAAAAGAGACTTTTTTTATAGATGTGCATAACGTTATTTCCTTGATATATTTTAGATAAAAAGTGCTAAAGCTGTGCAGTCTACGACTTGAAAGTATAGTTTTTATTGAATCGAAATTGGCTTTGTGTGTTCCTGTTTGTCGTAGGGGTGTTAAATTGTGGTTATCTGACTAATTGTGTAGTCGATAAGGACCGCTCCACAGAGCCGCAGCAGGTGTAGCTTCAGAAGCCGGCTCAAGACAGGACTGAGCAGTCCCATGCTCACTCCAGGACTGAGCAGTCCCATGCTCACTCCGGGAGCCGCCAGGTCTGTGACTCTGCATTTTAAATGTAGTAAGAGCTGCTGGGCTTTTACTACATTTAAAATATAGAGGTGCAGTATCCCGCACCAGCATGAGCTGGGACTCCTCAGTCCTGTTGTGCACTGAGTCCAGCAGCCCCTGTTTGTGGCAGCCAGGGCTGGCCGAGAACAGGGTCTGCTGCCAGAGCAGCCTCCCCTATCCCCACCCTCTACTGCCTCGAATAGAGTCAGCAGAGGGTGGGGGGACAGGAGGCACCATGGAGCCGGTGCTGGGAGAAACCAGCTTTTAAGCTAGTTCCCCCCAGCACCACCTTTTGTTTTCTCTCCCACCCCGCCCCATTCCCTCCAGTGCCTCTCATAGAGGCAGCAAGGGGAGGGAAGCGAGTGGTGGGTACTCCAGTGGACTACTTGCTAATATCTCTAATTTGTAGTGGTTACACCAAAAGCTGTGGATTTGAATTGTAGATTGCCTATGCTTGCACATGCAAATATTGAACAGTTTACCCCATCAGGAGTAAATGATTGAATTACAGCACAGGAACACTATAAAGTCTCAGATGATTTCATAATGGGTCATTTGAAATACTGCTTTCTCAAGATGATTTACCTATCTAAATGTCTAGGAAGTGATTTCTAAATTTTAACTATGTCTTGTTGTTCTCTCTTCCCCATGGGCACGAGGAGAACTCAGTCAGTTCCAAAGGCACTTTGAGGTATGCGAAACCTGAATTTTTTCCAGTGCACTCTAGCCAAGTGGAGATAAGCTGTCAAATTCCATATCACCCACTTTAATACCACAGACTGATCAGATTTAACTTTGATCCATAAAGGTGTGCATGTATGTTATGTGCATCTGCAGAGTGCCCAAGTATTTTCTGTAAATGTTTCATTAATAGGCATTGCAATGGATAGCTGTATATTTTGCAAAATAATCTGCGATTTCCAGTCCTTGCCTTCAAATCTATTAATGCAATTCCTTAGTGGGGTTTTTTCAAATTACTGAGCTATCATATCGATAAAAATCATATTGAAAACTCCTTGCTTGAAGATAGTAACCTGAATAGCTAAAAAAAATTTCTACAACACCAACATAGTTTGTTGAAAATTACATGTTTAATTATTGAGGCATTTATTTGTAGTTGTCTTATGAATCCTGGACCAATGTGAATGTAGTTCTGACTATGATTGCACAGCATTGTTTGTCACATTTTTTTAAAAAGCTCTATTTTAAAAAAAACCTACAATTGTAGAAAATTGTCAAGGGAATGCCACACTAATAGGCAACCTGATTCTAGGTTGTGTATTGTTTGCCTGTTGGATTATTTAGTAATTAGAAAATAAAGATGTAAAATTGGATTTAGTAGCAATTTAAATCAGTAAATGAATCAGTTTTTAAAAGTGCAAATCTAAAACAATTTATTTAGAAAGAACTGTCCAATATAGTTGTAACAGAGAAGTTACCACTAAGTGAATGAGGGGAGAAAAAGAGGCAATAACTTATGAAAAAACATGATAAATATAGAGTTAAAAATTTTAGGGTCTGATTTAAAAAATGTAGATGCACAATTGCATTAACCATAAATGTGCATAAAAATTATTCCAGTAACCTTATTAATTGTATCTGTTAAATAATTAGTTTAGTGCATAGAATTAAGTCTGAAAATACTAAATGTTGAAACAAATATATTTTGAAATAATGGTAAAGGTTTAATCTAACAGAATTCAGCTGAACTTCCATTCTCAGTAAACTGTGTGGTTTGTGTATATTATTATAAAATTTAACATAAAAGTGAAACCCCCATGAATGCTATTTTTGCTCTTTTTACTTTCTCACCTTGTCATCTGAGGTGAAGCCCCCTCGCACTGGATAGTAACTGTGTCTGCACTAGTGTTTTGTTGTTTTACAGACCTTTGGTGCAGTTTCATTTGGAGTTGCATTTACAATGCTGCCAGGTACATTTGCTGTAACTAAATCTTTCAAAGGATACAAGGAATTTTTTCCAACTCTGATATATTGTTGGGTAGGACCAATGAACACTTTTTTCCTGCTGTTTTTTATGAATGTGGTTAGAATCTTTTGTTTTTTCTTATATGGTTTATTCTCTCTGTCCTTGACAAAATCCTTTCCACTCCGTTGATCCTGTTTTGTACCCTGCTTGAGAATAACTAACTATTTTTTGAATGATGTGTAACCCAACCTTTCAGAGTGAATTGGTGCTGCTGCATAATTGTCTGCAGGCAGAACTCTTCAGTGATGTAAAGCACTGCCAGGGTCTCCCCCAGTGAAGTGCAGTGTCCTCTCCTGCAATCATGCTGACCTATACCGTTTTGCTTGACCAAAACCAGTTTTCTTACTCGGCTAAATAATACTCATTCCCTTTGTATTTTCTAGGAATCTGAATTTCTCTGTTTGGAATTTGATGAGGCCAAGGTGAATCAAATGTTGAAGAAATTATCGGAGATTGAAGAGAGCATAACGGCGCTGACGCAGACTACCTGACTGTTGAGCTAAATAAAGAGATTGTGACTCAGAATGTAGATGGCCTTAATACTTGTTAATAATTTCTATTTTTATATATGAAATTGTTGCCATAATCTTCTAGGGGCATTTGATCATAAAATATTGTGAGCTCGTTCTACCACTCTGACATTAGTGAGCACTTACTCAAAACAGGAATCCCATTGGATTCAATGAGACTGCTTATCTATGTGCGCAACAGCTATGTAAGTCCTTGTGTGAGTAGCATGGCTTTCTTTTTCATGCCTCTTTACATTGTGTCAAATCGTTTTCTGATTACTATGACTCATGAGATAAATTCTGGGCCGTGGTCAGTATCCATGGGAAACTAAATGGTTCTGTGGCAGAGGAAGAAGACAGACAGTAGCTGCTCAGAATTTTCCTTATAAAGACCCACCATGATTATTCTTTCCTGTTTTTATTACCTAAGGGGGCAAACTGGCATCTGAAGTGTGGGGTGCAGCTCTCTTGTGATTGTGAATAAAAATAAACACAACGTCAGCTAACTACGAATAGGTGAGACGAAGTGTAATTGCCACAGGTGGAGAAAAATGTCAAGGAGAAACAATCAGGAAATGTATGCGAATGAAGTTTACTAAACAGTCACGTGCAGAGACCTGAAGGTCTGGTTAGACTCTGATTTGTACGTTGCACCCATCACACCCTGAATCTGTTTAACTAGCTCACTAGCACATGCATTTAGTGCACTATTATAAAGTTGTTAAACTCTAAAAGGAAGCAAATCCATCAGCCTTTCCAAAACACAGGGAAGAACTCACGGCATACATTATATTGAACCCTCTCTTTTTCTCAAATAGGATATAAATAGCAGAGCAAAAATCCTAGCTCCCAGACTGCGAATCATCCCCAGTCACTAATAAAGAGTTTCCTACAGTTTACCCTGTACCAATGGCTTCTAGTATATATTTGCCAAGTAAGCCCTACTACTGTCCTTCTCATTTGCTATTGGTTAGTGTAGGGGGCTCCCTGCTCATTTGCTGGTTTTGTGCATCCCTTTCTTAGGCACCTCTCTCTTCCCTATCAGTCCTGGATGCCTAAATTCAGGATGAGGAATCATGATGGGGGCAAGCCGCCTAAAATTTCCCTTTGTGAATCTAGTCCTTCCCTCTCCTGCAGCTCTGCCTGCTCTCCTACATTCCTTTGTGCTGCTCAGTAGAGACTTTTCTTTTTATTGGCAGCGGAAAACAGGCACATATTAAGGGTAGAGGTTCCAGTGAGGCTTATGGCTTTAAGCAACATACAGAGCTAAACCTGCATTAATTGCTATGACAGAAATAGTGATGACCACATAAAACACAGTAATGCCAGAATTAAAGTGCATTTCATTGTCTTGCCAAGTGCTTGTGAAGATGCCAGATTGATTGCACTTAGAAACTTCCCTTCTCCCTTCACAGTATGGGGAAGGGACTGGCTTTCCTGTCCTCCCAATCAGAATATAAATGTACCTCTCTGGTTAATCCACAACATCTTCTTTGGGGCCCACTTCTCCCCATCTGTCTTCATCCAGCACTACTACTACTCAAGAGCTGTCCCTTCTGATATTTCCCCCTCCTGTGTCCGTTTTCCACCTTGAATTCTCAGGTCCCTTTTTACCACTTCCTGGGCCTTTGCCACTTCTGTGGGCTTCACCGCACAAGAGTCTGAGCAGAAGCTACTCTGTCACTCATTGCCAATTTATATCCCACAAAACCCACGTGGAACACCTCACCCCAGAAATTACAACTGCCCAAAAGGCGAGGCTCCTTCGGTCACCACCATGTGATCTGATGGTCTCTTGCCAAAGCAGTGTGTGGTGTAGTGCTTCCTCTTGTCTCCAGCTCTGCAGGGGAACAAGGAGAGGAAACAGGACACCAAAGGGACACTGAGCTACCAGGTGGAGGTGTTTTAAGTGTGTGTCTTCTCACATCTCAGGAGAGGGAACCAGTAGTGAGTGGGACCTGAAGATTCTGGTATCTCACTAGAAAAGGAAATGTCAGAGCTAAGCAGGAGATTATGCTAGTCTGGGCAGCAGCAAGGCCTGCTTCCTTACAGATCCTGAATAATGTGGCTAACCCCAGTGCTTTTTTGGTGGGGGAAAAAAAAAGTGCCAGTACTCCAGGGGAAAAGTTGCTGAGCTCTGACTGAAGGTGCCGGTACTGCGTACCGGGCAATACCATCACAAAAAAAGCACTGCCTATCCCAAGGGATCTTTTCTATCCCTGAGTCTAACTTGTCTGTAGGCTAATTCAGCTCTTGACCTCTGCAGAAATGGCCAGCAAAGTTGCCTGCTATAGCTGTTTGTGGAGGGATGTGACAGGGATGCCCGGTTTTGCTTACTCACAGTTTTAATACAAATCTTGCAACATTTGGAGATCTTAAAGCCCCAGTTCCAGGGGTCATGTGAATACATGATAATCTCAGCTTTCATTTTTTAAAAATCTTGTTAAGTTTCCTGTGCTCATGATTGGGGAGGGTGGAGTGGAGAGATCTTGAAAATGTGTCCTGAGTGCACCCTAAAGCTTCAATAAAGCAGAAGGCAAATAAAGAGAGCCCAAACTTTAATATTTTTCAGATAATCTCAATATTTTGGGGGCTTGTTTTGTGAGTTTTCAGTGATTAAGGTTGGCATCACTAGACACCTGTCAGCGAGCAAATGGCCTGTGACCACCTAACTCATTTCTCATATAGGGCCCTGAATTTTTGTTTACTGCTCATGCCCTGGCCATGATTTTTACTAGAAATACCTGTGACCAAACGGTAGCCTTAGTCTAATCAGCATGAACTGGGTTTGAAATGGACTCAAAGCTGATTATCTGAGCTAATGAAAGTTCATTAAAATGACCTACTACGTTTCAAGCAAGGTTTTTTTTTTATGGGTCAGTTAATGCTCATAATCTTAAACCACTTGTGAAGTGTAGTAATTGTTATACTTTAACATGCATAGGAAAATGGGATATAAATGGAAGTTAAAGAGAAACAAACTGAGAACAGATGTCAGGAAGTATTATTTCATGAAAAGAATAATAAATATGTGAAATGGCTAACCAAGTGAGTTTCTCAGGAAAAAAATCCTTGGGTTATTTAAGAAAGAATTGGGTACTTTCCAGCAAAAACCTGGGAAGCTAAAAGGAGACATGTTTCCATGGATTTCAGTAACTTTCTCCCTGAGATGTATTCTCTCTCTAATACAATGCTTTTAACTTGCCTCTTCTGGGTAGTTGTACATTATCTAGCAGATGTGAGAGATATTTTGTGCATCTTGAGCCAAATTCTGTCTGGCCATCAGTGAGGTTGCAAGGGGGTGACTGGAAAGGAAAAACTGTCCCATATGCAGTATTTTCCATTAGCAGTATTTCACCTGAGTACTTTAATGCTAGGTTAGTATGGATGGTCGCAGATCAAGTCGCCTCTCTAAAAGTGAATTGCAGTTTTACACTTTAGGTGGAACTAAATGGAGGTCTGGTTTTAACTCTTTTTTTGGTCAGGATTTGACATATATTTTTTTATATACATAGATGATGAGCAAAACTTTCAAGAGCAGCTGAGTGACTACAGAGCCTAAGAGCCATTGATCTGAAAAATCCCACAAGGCACATCTCTAGGCATCTAAATTCCTTTGAAAATCTGGCTTTTGGGCCCTTTTGCAAACATCCAATATGAATAATGTGTCTATAGAGCAAAGTCCACGCTGTGAGTTAAAAAACTCTTTCAGATGAAATAGTTTGAACATTTGACCAAGAATTAAACAAACCAGACAGTTGATTCAGGGGTTTTTGTGCCTCTGTTGAAACGTGGAATACTTTTTCATGAACAAGACTGGGTGGAACTGATGGTTCCTATCAGTTCCACCTAGCTGATGAATTTGTCAGATTATTGATTTGATTTTGACATTTTAGGAAATGTTTATAGTTTCACATAAATCTAGCTCAGATTCCCAGAAATCATTATAAACATACTTCAGAATAACGAGAATGACTTGTTAATGCAATTGTGTTCCCATGGATGAAAAACTTTGTGGTCTGAACAAATTATCCCTTGGAGTCACACAAGGGATGGATTTGGCCTATCACGACTGACCAGAAACATGCCTGAAATATTCAGGATAAAACCTGAATTTATTAATTTAATTTGTGTGCATTAATTTTCATGTGCATTTGTTTTAGCCAAATTGAAAAGATACGTCTGAGTAAATAGGAAAATTAAGGACAGACTTCCTCTTGCTCCAAGATCCAGTCATTGAAAGAGAAGAGTGGATCCATCAGGGAGTGAGCTACAGCCGCCTGACCCTTTAACAGATCTGACAAAATGGTATAGCTGTTTTTTGTTTTGTTTTGTTTGTTTTTTATAGAACTGGAAGGGACCTTGAGAGGTCATCAAGTCCAGTCTCCTTCCCTTACGGCAGGACCTAGTACCATCCCTTACTTATCACTCTTACAAATTATCTTTTTCTTCCCTTTTGTACCAAGAATTACTATAAAATAAAATACACAGTTAAGTGATGTGTTCCTTTGTCTTGTTTCTTTTCTGAGGGTTCAGTGGTTTCAAGCAATTTATTTACAGCATGTTTGCTTTCATTTTCACCAGTTTTATGCTGATGTAAGTTACTCCATTGACTGCAGTGGAGTTGCTACTCATTTACACTTCTGTGAGGGCAGGTTCTACAGTAGAGAGAGAAGTTGATCCAAGCTACACAATCTGAGTTACATTAGTACCACAGGGTCCACGCCCTGCTGAGTCTACAGGAGAAACTCTCCCATGGACTCACCTTACTCATCTCATTCCAGTGGAGTACCAGTGCTAATGTCTGAGAGCTCAGCAGTTGATTTGGTTAGACCCTGGAGTGATTGCTGCAGCATTGATCTTGTCTGTAGTGGACACAAGCCCTGAGAAGAAAATAGCCATTTCACTATGCAGTTTTGATGCTGAATGTATAAGAGGAGGCACTTAATTCTTTCTAATCCTGGTGGTTCGTTTCCATTGTATAACATTTATAAATGACAAACCTCATAGCAATGACCATAGACCAAAGAGATTCACCTCATGGTTCTGTGATGATAATTCTTTCAGGCAGATTTTCTTTTTCTTGAGATATTTGCTCCTTCTTTGGAGTACTCCCACTCCCCTCCCACACCATATGTCTATAAAAATCCAACTGTCTGTATTTTCTGAAGAACTGAGCCAAGTTTTGGAGCATGTTACATAGTAGAGCAAATATTTTAGGTAGATTTGCTCCATAGTAGTTCCCACTGTTCAAATTATTTGGCCTTACATCATTTTTTGCTTTTCTGTGTCTCTGTTGTAGATTATTTTGCTAATGTAGACACTGGACATTATATTTGGGTTCTTAAATTTGTTACAGGACTCAGAGGCTGTTGGAGTCCCTTAGTTATGTTTTAATTTTTGATAAATGTGTTCATATATTAACAAAATACTCCCATACTCACCCACAGAATCCTTTTCCTAAATCCTTATGATGTTGGTTACCATATATTCATAAGGCGATTCCTTTCTCTTGCCATTTTTGCTTAACATTTTTATTTTATTTTCTGAAGGGTAACATCTTCAGTTCATTCTGTTATTGGTGAGGGAATCCTGTCCCTTTAAAATTTTGAAGCAGTGAACACTGTTACAACAACCAGACAATGAATAATGCTGCTCTATTTTTAATATGCAATTTTTACTCCAGCTTTATTGTTTGGAGCTACTTTTTCTAAAATGAAGCACAATCCTTTGATAACTAGAAATGTAACTAGTGTATGTGTTTTACATCTGATTTTAGTATTATATGATATTGCAATTGAATTCTTGCTTCTTTCCTAAATTTTTTCTTTCTTCTTGCTCCTACCAGCCCTTTCAACAGTTAATTTATTTTATTCCAAATATTTATAAAGAGGCGCTCAGTTTAGCTGAAAAAAGTTATGGTAGTTTACAAAGACAGCCTTTTAAGATGGTGATATCATGTGCTGATGGCAACACTTAAGAGATCCTTTACAGCAGTCTGGGAACTCTTTTAACCGATTATTTTTCATGTGGTTTATAATGAGGAAAATAGTCATAAGATCATAAGAATGGCCATCCCGGGTCCATCAAGCCCAGTATCCTGTCTTCTGACAGTAGCCAGTGCCACATG